AGAGAGAGAGAGAGAGAGAGAGAGAGAGAGAGAGAGAGAGAGAGAGAGAGAGAGAGAGAGAGAGAGAGAGAGAGAGAGAGAGAGAGACGTACCACAGGCTGTCGCTGGACTTGACGGTCCTCCTCATGACAACGCGAGACTCCGACTGGCCGACATTGCGGCTCAGCTCGCTCTGCTCCTTGAGAGCAGTCTGGCCGGCGAATGTGCTCGGGGCGACGGCAGCAACGGCGGCGATGGCGGCCATGGTGGTCGACGGCTGATGGACTCGACGAGCGTACGTCGTTCTCTCTAGAGAAGAGGGGGAGAGAGAGAGAGAGAGAGAGAGAGAGAGAGAGAGAGAGAGAGAGAGAGAGAGAGAGAGAGAGAGAGAGGCAGGCTCAGTCGATCGCCGGTGCCGCTTGCTAGCCAGACAACGAAGTCGAACCTCCGATGGTAACAAAGCCCTTCGTCGTGTACATATAACCCTTCCAAGTATGGCAATCAATGATGGCCGTGTGGGGACCCCCCGCCTTCTGTTCCACGCTGCCCGCTGTGAGGGACTTCGGGGCTATTTGTGTTCCTCAGGGACCTACCAGTAGTTGCACCACTCGCCATCCGCCAGCATGGACAGTATTCAGGCGTAGTTGCGCCACGCGTTCCCCGCCGAGACTTCGAATGCATATTGACGGATTACATGTCCGAATGCATTCAAAATCTCGCAGGATGGCCAGTGGCGTACCTTAGGGCCTTTCGGTTTGACGAATTTCGCTTTTCAAAACTGCGGGGAGGGGGGGGCGGGGCGGCGCTTTCGTTTCGTTTTTCTTTCGGGAAAAGGTAGAGAATTTCCATTGTCGAGGCACAAAACTCTGAGGCCCGTGGTAACCCAGTACTGGTTCAGCCTGACTTCGTGGCGTGGAGGAAAAAAGAAACAAAACTTGTACTTTCGTCCGCTCCAGCAAGTCCGAGCGCGTGCTCGCTCATCTGTAGTAGAACGATTTCCCGTCATCCAATCCAAATGCTCGGAGGTGCTCCATCTGACGGATTAGCCCCAGCTCAGCCGGTGCACCCACGAACTGTGATGAACTGTTGAAATGCCAACTGGCCGAGGTCAGTTGGTACACCCCCTGAACGAAGTGTTGAAATACAAAGACCTGAGTTCGAACTCCACCGGAAGCAGATAAGTGAAATACCTAGGGCTCGTAGGTTTGATGATGATATCTCAAAGGGGGGACTGTTGAAGTACAGACCTGGGGCAGGGTCTCACACTCACAACACACGCACACACACACACACACAATACAGGACACAACACACGCACACACACACACACACACACACACACACACACACACACACACACACACACACCTGGGGCAGGGTCTCACACACATGACACACGTGCACACACACACAACACACACACACACTCACAAACACACGATCAGTCTATTGATCAATCAATCAATCAATCAATCAGTCAGTCGGTCAATCAACGTGTGTGTGTGCCAAAAACAAAAAAAGCAAAAAAAGGAAAACCTTTTTGGCTTTTTTTGGTGTTTTATAAATCTGTTTTCGCCCCCAAAAAAACATGTGCGACACGTTTATCCCACCAGCAATCACAAAAACGTGGGAAAAAAACTTGCCCTTTTTTTTTCCGGTTGAAATAGGGTCGTATCCCACCTTTTACGAAAATTGGAAGAAGCTAAAAGAACCGCTTTTCGGGCGTCTCTTCCAGAAATGTCGAAAAAAAGAAATCGGACCGCACATTCCCGGAAAGGCTACTTCTTTCACGAAACATACGGCGGACAATTGTGGGCGGTGTGCACAAGGTTGGACCTTTGCCCGTGGTGGTCGGACATTTTTCTATTTCGGCCTGGCGGCAAGCAGGTTGAGTGACGCGTACCGGCGGTCTTGGTGCCGTATCGTCGTCCAAGTGGGACAGGCGCGGTACCTTTTGCCGTGTGTTGCAGTCCGCTTTCCACCGTCCCAGTTGCACATGGTCCTGGGTGTCGGCCTCTGTGCTCATGCGCGCCATGGATTTGAAACTCACGCCGACGACTGCGACGAGTGTTCAACGGTGCAGTCGTCCGCCCTCCATTGCCAGTTCACTTGTGTCTTCCAGATCGCATGGCGCAGTGCCACGTCCGCACGGCAGGGTTTGCTCCCACAAGCGCTGTCACACGTGGTGTTCTTGAAATTGCGGCGGGGTTGGTCCACTTCCACTGTGACACAGGCCACAGTCCCATACTTCGCGGCCTTGTGGGAGTTGCAGCCATGACGCCCATCCAGGTGGGTACGATTCTCGCCGCTATAATTCGCTGGTTGCGGTTGAGGGAGCATGTGTCCGTTCTGTCGGCTATGATTGTCATGCACGTGGTCATCAGCGCCGTTGCAATGCAGCAGTCAACAACGATCTTGCTTGTCCTATGCTATCACCATTCTAAGCACACCGTGGAGAAGGGGCTGCGCGCTGGAGAGATCGATGTCGGCGGCGATTGTGAGTTCGATATAGAGCTGGAGGAACATGGGAGGAGCTCATCATGGAAGGCCCGGGACACGAGAAGAAATTCGGGGAGTACACGAGTCTCACGAGGCCACTCTTCGGCGAAATTTTCCTACGAATCGCGCCGCGGATTCAACGTATGAACACTTGCTTCCGAGAAGCGTTGCCTGCACCCCTGAAGTTGGCTTTCGCACTTTACCGATGGGCGACCGGGGGCTATTACAAACAGTGCGGCAATGGCTTTGGTATGGGACTGCACAGCGCGGTTCGATGCAGGAACGATGTTGCGAGGGCTCTTGTCGAGGAGTACGGGTGGTGGAGGAGGTCGGCTGGTCGTGGGAGGGAAACATCATGAGTTTTGGGGAGTTGGTTTCTCTATTCTTCCTCCCCTAACGAACTATGTGGTGGAGGAGGTCGGCTCGTCGCTAGAGGAGGAAGAGTAGACGGGGGGCTCGTAGGGACATGGGAGAGTGGGGTAGATCGGAATAGAGGGGTGTTCTCCTCTCCCTTGTAATTGAAGTGAGATTGTATACTTACAAACAACAATATAATAAATAGTTCTGAGTAAGAGCAGTTGTTTGGGGGTGGGCCGGAGGGTAACCACGTGTGACGAACCACTTCATGACCCCGTGCCACCTTCCGTACCCTTTCTTTTGCTTATATCATACCAACCCCAGGAAAACCCCGTTTTGATTTCTTGCTTTCGGGTGCCGCATTTTCCCTTTTTTTAAGAGCTTTTTTTTTTCGACTGCTGAGTTCTGTTTTTCTTTTTGCAAAGTCGGGAAATACATGGGAATTTGCGTGCGCCTTAGCGAGCGACTGGGAATTGGGCTCAGCGGTTGGGAATTCCGGGATAAGCGGAACTTCGACGTGTCCTTTCCGAGTGTGTGAATGTTCCTGGTCGCGTCGGAGAAAACTTTCGGAATTTCGTTCGGATACGAATAAGCGTAGGATTTTCTTTTCCCACGTCGCTCTTTCGCGCGCGGATATGGTGATTTCAATTTTTGAATTAGAATAGAAGCAAGCTGTAACTGTTTCGGTGCCTTTTTCTTTTTTTCTTTTTTTCTTTTTTTTTTTTCTTTTTTTTTTTGTTGACGGCGCCGCGTATGCAGAAGCTTTCTCCCCTCTGTCCCCTGTATCGCTCCCTCCCGCACTCCCTTTCCTTCTCCCTCCTCTTTCTCTCTCCCTGTAACTGTTTCTTTCTCTCTCCTCCCCCTCCCCCGTCTTGCTGGTTGCGCGCCCATTTCCCTTTCTTGATCGTCTGAATCTTGGACCCGTCTTGCGCCACCTCTCGCGCCTTTTCTCCTCTCACCCTCTGAGTCTGGCGTACGACGCCCGGTCAATCCCCCGATAACTCCCGCTCGCCAATCAGGTGCGTGGATCGATAGGACCTTCCTATCCCGTGACGAATCTGATTGGTTGAACCTTGAGTTCCGAGGGATCAGCATGGCGTTCGTAGAGCACTCTTCTCAAAGTCTTCTCCTCCTGCTTCTCCTCTTACACCTCAGCCTTCCGGTCGTCTGCAGAAGGTAGGAAAAAACTATGTTGGAACATCTATTGCAGTGAATGAAGTTGAGGTATGAACCAGATCACGCAACATGTTATTCGTTCAAATAGTACATTATTTTTCAAATAGTATTTTTTTTTGACAGTATGTAACCTCAAATAACTTTCAACGACCATATAAAGTATCACTTTGATGAGCAGAAACCCTCTCCCGACAAGTAATGAGATCTCGTTGCATTAAGTTACATAAATTTCATACAAGTCACCCGATGTCAAGCTGTGTAAGTGTGATTGAAGACGCTTAACACCTCGGTTGTATCAGATTCCTCCACAAAAAATGATCATAAAGGGAGACGGTACCTAGTTTAAGACTTCAAGTTATGTTAAGGCCTTAGGGAGACAGTCACTTTGATTATAGTACCTAATCTCAGACTAGTAAGTACAGTAACTAAATTAAATATGATCATGACATTGTTTATGATGTATCCTCTGTATAAATTATTAGATTGCATTTCATGAACATAGTACTAAATTACTGTATCAGTTTATGTGTGTAACTTAAACTTTATTGACAAGTTGCTATCATGGTTGTATATAATTACTCTAGTATAGAGTGCTCAGACCGCAATGCTTAAACTTTAAGGTTTTCTATTAGGGAGACAGTCACTGTTAAAGTACCTAGTCTAAGACTAGTAAGTACTACTATCATGTTTAGGATATATCCTCTGTATAACTATTACATCAGATTTCATGAACAATGTCATAACTAGTATCAGACTAGGTCATTGTTACTGTAACAGTACTAGTTAAGACTCAGTACCATCATGTTTTAATTAGGATGTATGCTTTGTATAATTACATCCGATTCGGATTTCATGTGAAAATATACAGAGGATACGTTTTAAAGTTAATATGATCATAGTACTAAATATCAGTCTAGGTGTGTAACTTAAACTTCCTATCTACGTAGCACCGTGTTCGCGTTCGCCTCCGCGTTCGGAGGCGAACGCAAACAAGGGCCCAAAATCCTCCGAACGCGAAAAAAAAAAAAAAAAAAAAAAAAAAAAAAGTTCTCATAAAAATATGAGAAATATATATGTAATGTAAAACAACAATACAAGAAAAGTTTGTGTTGGAGTCATGTTTAAATTCGTAGTCAGTCAGGAGTTAAAAATTTATAAACCGAAATAATATATTTTTTTATTTTTTTTACGAAAAAAAGTAGATTCGTTTGAACATACTCGCAAGTTATTCGCACGAACGTGAAGTGGTTTGAACATGTGCGCCGTGCTATTCACCTTGCTATCATGGTTGTACATTACTCTATGGAGTGCTCGAACCACAATGCTTAAAATTTATCTTTCAATTAAATTTGGTACTAAGTTAAATTTTGTCAGACTCTTTGGTTGTTGAATGTTGTAACGTTGATCTTAAAGAGGATTTAACTTAGAGTCTTCGATTAAAAAAAAAAAAATTGCTTGACACTACAAATATTATAATTATTATAAATTAATGGAATGAATTTCTTTCGTGGTTTGATACAATTATCATTTCATTTGAATGGACAAATCAGGAATCGTTATAGTACATTAATTTATTAATTAAATATCCTCTAGACAGTTGACAAGTTGAACTCATGACATGAATTCATGACAAACAAAGAAACTTAAACTTTGTCAAACAACTTTGAGTCAAAATTTTATGAACACATTAGGAGCCATTACTATAACATATACAGTACACATCATTCTCAAGACAATTGACAACTTGAAGCAAGAAAATTAAAAATAGACCGGGTTACCTGGTCCACATATTATGAATTTATAACAATTATTACAGAAACTTTAAAATTTTTCAATAAGAAGGTACACAATCCTTATCAAGACAATTGACAACTTGAAAACTACTTCAAAAGTTTTCAATAAGAACGTGCTACTCCAAAAATTTTATATGAGACAAAGGATACATGAAACAAGTATATAATATGCTATCCAAATAAAACTAAGACTTACTAGGCTGTGAAAACTCAACTATACCTTCAAAAACCAAGACACACTTTTACATTACCAAACAGTTCGCAACGCTACGAACTAGCATGAATAAAAAACCCTCACTACCTCATACTATGAAAAATTAAACTAATGTGACTTTCGAACACAAAACTTTACAAAATTTGAGACTTGTTACTCACCGTGTTAAAAAGTCGAAATCCTCAGAAAAAGCCTCTTTGCAGAGCGTTCACTAACGGTTCTCATGTTGAACCGTCTACCATGCTACTCGGGAGTGGAGGTTGAGACAGACCTTCAAACTCCATAATCGAAACCGAAAAACCTTCAAGGGGTTTCCCAGCATTGAGTATAGCATGTCTCGTGGACAAAAGAACATGTGTCAAAAAGTCAAAATTATCAAAATAAGCCTCTTTGCAGAGCATCCATTAACGGTTCTCATGTTGAACCGTCTACCATGCGACTCGGGAGTGGAGGTTGAGGCAGACGTTGAAACTTCATAATGGAAACCGAAAAACCTTCAAGGGGTTTCCCAGCATTGAGTATAGCACGTCTCGTGGACAAAATAATATTTATAGCTCGTAGATAAACTTATGTAAAATCTCCATGTCTCCAGTTTTCTCTTTGACACTCATATATTCACACGTCGAAACAGAACAGATTTGTAAAAACTTCACCATGATGACAAACATTTTTCGTTCTCCCGCTTCACATTTGACTATTTTCTTATATTGAAATGAAAACGCTCCTCCCTTTGTGATGATTGTTTGAAGGACTACACCGTACACAACATTATTCAGATGCATCCTTTTGTAAATATAAAAGGTATTTCATAAAATGCACAGTATATTACAATACGCTTGCACGCACAACTTTTGTCTGCATACAATTGGTCGAGTTCGCTTAACATCACCCTCCATTATGGTGAAGTCATGTATTGTTTGCAACCACCACTTCCTCCGGTCTACAAATGTCCATATGAACCCTCCCTGACTGGCCTAACATCATCAGCAGTGAGATTTGCACAACAAACCTTCTTGCAACAAAGCATACCATGCACACGTTCAAGAGATTCTAGTCTAAGCTTAGTCAAAGCTCTTTTGTTTTGGACACGTTTCCTAACGGCTCTGTTTGCCATGTTGTATGACCTTTTCTCTCCGGGTAACAGTGCGGGCAAAACGTAGTGTATTTCTCTATGCTCATGAGACTCACTACGTGAGGTAGTGTTATCCTTAAAGTAAGTTGGCATCTATCATTTGTTCTATATACCCACTATCAGATGTAAGTTGGCGTCCATCATCTGTTTTATAGGATCACATATGTATTGTGAGTAGTTGATGATACATATATTTTTGTTCATAGTTCAGCGACGGCCCGTGAGGTTGAACTTGCGTTGTGCGTAGTTCTGAATTCTTTTACATAATTTTTTTTTTTTTTACTATTTGGTTTTGTTCATAGTTCAACGAATTCAATTACGTGGGGAGGTTGTATCCGTTTCACAGGCAGCCTATGAATTCCCCGCGGCCGCGGCCACGAGGACGCGAACTGCGGCGGCCCGCTGCGGCCAAGGGGAAAGGGGGTTGGGGAACGGGGTTGCGGATTGGTGTTCCGGAACGCGGACCACA